GAAAAATAAAATTTAATAAATAAAGTAGACTGACTTTTTGGGGTAAAATGAAAAAAAGAGCCGAAAATTGAGTTTTGAAAATGAGAGAAAATTTTCCTTTAATTTTTATTCTTGTCTAAAATTTTTTTTTCTCCATTCTTAAATCGGGCTAATTTTTAACCTTTCTCCATTTTAAATCGAAAATACAAAAGAATAAAAATAGTCACTGGTTTTTAGTTTTTATTACGACTACTTTTTCTCACACACATTTTGCTGTTTTCTTTTATTTCTCACTTTATTTTCGCTACAATAAACACTAGTCCAAGTCTAATTGGAAAATAAAATTTAATATGAAAATTAAGTAGACTGACTCTTTGGGGGTAAAGTGAAAAAGAAGAGAGGGCTCATCCGAAAAATTGTCATTTTGAAAATGAGAAAAATTTTTTTTTCTTATTCTGTATTTTGTTTATTAGCGCTTTAATTCATCTCTTACTATTTCTATACAGAATCCTCTGTTAATACCTCTTTCCTTTTCTAGTGTTATTCGTCTGTTAATAATACATACTAGTAAAATTCTATTAGAGAGAAAATTAATTTTATTAAATCCATAATTCCTAAAATTAATCAAGAAATTTTTTTTTGCTTGTTTTGTGAATTAAATTTGATTATATTACAGGCCTAATTTCAGTCTTTTATGTATTACTGTTGTATTTTAAGTTCATTTTCAAAAAAAAAAATTCTTACAACCGGTGGGGTTCGAACCCTCGTCGCATTTTCTTTTATAGACTCAAAACCTAGTCGTTTCCAACTACACTACAAACTTAATGTTTTGCTTTCATAAATTATAAAATTAGAGCTTTAAAAATTGGTGCTTGTTTTGTAATTAAACATGTTCTGGTATCAACAAACATTTTCTAGTATCAACAACAACAACAAACATTTTCTAAATATTTGTTGTTCTTTTATTGAAAAGCAAATGGAAACAAAAACATGTCTTTATCAAGTTTTTTTTTGGATTAAAAATTGCAAAACAAGCGTCTTAAGTTACTGTCAAATTTAATGGAAAAAGTTATATGCAACACTGACCATTTGAAAGCCGAGAAGTCAGTCTAGTCTTATTTTTAGTCAATTCACTTCCCAATGGAAAAATTAACGATAAGTTTTTTTTACTTACAAAGAAAAGTCTGTTTAAATAAATGTTTTGTATTTCCTCTCTCAAACAATTGACAAATGTTTTTCTTTTTATTCTGATTATTCCTTTAACTGACACAGTTTCAAAAAAAAAACTCAACAATTTTGTCCGAAAATTTTCAATCCAATTAAATTTTTTTTTTTACTTTCTATTTTTAAATATATGACAGTTTAATTTCCCTCTTGTTGTGGTGTGGTGGCTACTATAAAAGCCTCACACAATTGTCAGTCCGTGTCTCCTAATTGTCTCCAATATTATCCCAACCTTATTCTATTGCTTCAATACTATTGTTATTTCTATTGTGTGATAAACACATTATTGTATTGTGTATTTCTTGTTGTGCAGAGACACAACAAATTTGGCGCGGTCGTAAACGGATTCAATTGTAAATTGTATTGAAGAAAACAAATCAGGTTAGTGGCATTGTTATTGTTCATTGAAAAAATATTGTATTGATTCTTCAGAATGAAAGCGGAAGACATTCAAAAACTCCTTGAACAACAACAAATGAAATTCAATCAACAGCAAAAAGAACTTCAGGAACACCAAAACCAACAATTGTTACTGCAGCAAAAACAGATTGCGGAATTGTTGAGTAAATTGGGCAATAGGCCAAATATTGAAAGTGCTACAACGCTTCAACAAGAAGGATCGGCACAATACGGTAAATTGCATAAATTGATTTCTGAGTTCCATTGTGATATTCCACGGGCATTCACGTTCGAAACGTGGTATGATAAGTACAAATCGTACTTTGAAATTGAGGGGGCCACATTGAGTGAGGAATTGAAAGCTAGATTGCTTATTTCGAAATTGGGTGGCCCCGAATATTTTAAAATTGCCCAAAAATTATTGCCACGAAAATTATCAGACCTGAAATATGGGGAATTGTTAAGTGAATTGAAAGAGGAGTTTAGGGACCCGAGGTCCAAATTGCTAAAGCGTTTCGATACGCTGAAATTGAAATGTAATGAATATGAAAATATATTGCAATTTGGGAATCTCGTAAATGCCGAATGCGAAAAGTCAGAAATGAATTTGACTATTGAAGAAATGAAAATATTGATTTTTATTGTAGGGCTTCCTGACTCTGCAATTGATTTAAAACAAAATTGTATTCGGCTGATAGAAAATAAATCAAAGAAAAAAGAAGATTGTAATTTCAAGGAATTATTGGAAGATTGTCGAGGATTCTTGTCTACGAAAAAAGAAGTCAAATTGTTGTCTGAACCTAAACAGGTCAGTAAAATTGAATTGGGTTCACCACCGGAAATAAATATTATTCAGGAACCCAAATTGCAACAACAAAGTATTGAAAAATCGAAAAGTATTGAAAACAAGAATCGCTATTATCCACCATTAAAAAGGCCATATTGTAAGCATTGCAAAAAAGAAGGACATTGGATTGAAAATTGCTATTTTGCTGGTAAGCGTAAATTCTCACCTAGAGTGAATAATTTGAAAATTGGTTTAGACAAAAGCAATGATGGTCCTTATTGTATATTGTTGGATATTGAAGACAATGAAGTGTTGCAAAAACAAAATTGGATTGTTCAAAAATTGAAAATAAATGGAAATTCATTGAACATGATCATTGATACGGCTGCGCAAATCTCAATTATTTCAAAGGAAACGTGGTCACAGATTGGTGAACCAAAATTGGAGGAAGTTTCCTATAATGGAATTGCGATGGGCCAAGCAAAATTTAAAATTGAAGGGAAATTTGCAGCACACATTGATTGTAATAATAAGGAAGAAGAATTAGATTGCCATGTTGTGGAAGGCAAATTGAATTTAATTGGATTACCTTGGCTTAAAAGATTGAATTTATTGAAAAATATTGTTAATGTTCCAGAAATTGAAAAGGAAAGGAAGAAAATTGTATGGAACAAACAAAAGCCAATGTCAAAACCAATTGTAAAGAAAAAACTCTGGAAAGGCAAAAATGTAATTGTGAAGAACAAGAACAAAAGAACCAACAAAATTGAATGGTTAAAAGGCGAAATTGTAGGAAAAGTTGGTCAATTGTTTAGAGTTCAAGTTCATTGCCTGAAGAGTGTAATTCTGCGAAAAATTGAAGACATTAAAGAAGATTATCAACAACCAAGAATTGAATCAAAGAAGTGCTACGCTGTCAAACGTTCAGATGCGAGGCTGTACAATGAAGGCGCAACACCGAAAAAGAAAACAAAGATCTGGTCCGAGGAATCTGAAGATATGATGAAAAGCTGCTCTGAGGGTTCAATAATTTCTGAGGGTTTGGTAAATTCTGAGGGATCAAATATTGCTGAGGGATAGATGAAGTAAAGTAAAATAAATAGATAAAATATATTCTTTTGTTTGTAAAATTTTTGTTTGTTCCCTTATACCCTCATTTTTTTGTATGTATTTTGTTGACCGGACTTTTGTTATTGCTTGTATGTTTTGTATTGGTGTTGTAACCCCAGCCTTGCAAAGGGGGAGGTGTTGTGGTGTGGTGGCTACTATAAAAGCCTCACACAATTGTCAGTCCGTGTCTCCTAATTGTCTCCAATATTATCCCAACCTTATTCTATTGCTTCAATACTATTGTTATTTCTATTGTGTGATAAACACATTATTGTATTGTGTATTTCTTGTTGTGCAGAGACACAACACCTCTCGTAAAATTTTCGTGATTTTTTTCCCCTCTCGTGAATTCTCGTAAATTTTTGTAAATTTTTCTCCCTCGCGTGAATTTTCGTGAATTTTTATTTCCACTTACACATCGGAATGTGAAATAAGTAGTTAACCACATTTACTCAAACAAAGTCCAAAATGAGGGGTTGTGTGTGTATTTATTTAAATAAATAAATGTGTGTATTTAATTAAATAAATAAGTGTGTGTATTTACTTAAATAAATAAATAAGAAATAACAATAACGTGTGTGTGAGGGACAATCCGAGTTGAATAAATCCGAGTCAATAAATCCGAAACAATCAGAATTAAACAAATTCGAGTTGAATAAAATTAATCCTCACAGATCCCGATGTTTAAGGTCCAATGCCTGGCAATCAATTTTAGTGACATTTTGGGCTATGCGCTTTGGCGTTTTGTAAATTTGGCGTTTGCTCTTGTGCACATTTACAATTCTTTTCTTCCCCTTCAGCGGAAATAATTTTGCTGAGAGATCAAAGCTCTCGCTCTCAGGCATTACAACAAAAAAGAATAATAATAATCCTTTTTCCTTTTGAGAAACTGCATTAATTGAAAAGCGATAAGATAAATTTATTACAAAAGCCTGGGAACGTAAACAAACTTAAGCTAAAGAATAAAAAGCTTTAAACTTTTGTTTGTTCAAACTATTACAACAAGGAATAAAGTCCAATAAAGTAAAAGGCATATATAAAGGGACAGATCTCACTCATAAATTGTATTGTGTATTAAAAAAAAAATCAACAAATTCTCTCTCTCTCTCTCAAAAAAAAAAACGTTCTTAACATGGGGTCCAAGGATCCTCCGAACATTGGTGCTTCGGCATCCAATATTCCAATGGGTACTTCGGTACCTACTAATTATCTTGCTAATGCTGGTGCATTATCAAGCAAATCTAATCAGACAGAAGACATCTCTGTCAATGTTGTCGACAAGCTCTTAATGTCAGGTAAAATCTTAAGTAACCAAGCCAAGATGACTGATCTGGAAAAGGTACATTCTGATACTGTAAGGCTTGAAGAAGGAATTAATAGATCCCTAAGGGCTATAAATCGAAAGGTCAATCAAAACTCCGTAAATTTAAGCAAGCTTGCAGAGGAAGTAAATACTGGATTTGCCACCCTAGGAACACAAATTGAAAGCTGTGCTGAAAGAATGGAAGCCCGGACCAAAGAAAAATCTAGATCACTGTCACCTATAATAAGATCTATAAGCCGAAAACCACAGAGCTCACCGAAAAGTAAAATATTAACATTTTCAGATGAAAGCGACGCTGCTCTAAACATTAACATCCAAAGCAACGATGACAACAGGAACGACAACATTGATCAAAATACTGAACACACTATCAATATGCTTCACCATGAAGGAATACCACCTCTAGAAATCTACTCTGAAGACAGTCTGGTAACATTTGATAAATGGAGTAAAAAGTTCTTAGAAAGAATTAAAGTATTTGGGGCAAAACTTTCTGAAGAAGAAAAATTAAATCGACTTTCATTATTTTTAGAAGACACTCCGAAACAAATTTTAGAAAAACTAGAACCTGTCAAAAAGGCAACTGTCCAAGATGCAATTAAATTTATTAGAAAAGAATTAGATTCACCACAACGCCGAGTGCTCTCCCGACAGGCACTCTCCTTTTGCAAACAACATGAAAATGAAAATGTCAAAGACTTTCTGGCACGCTTTAGACCTATTGCTTTAGCAACAGCAACTGATTATGAAGGTCCTGCTTTAGAACGACATTTATGTGAACTTTTACTTGAACGACTAAAGCCAAGCATCTCATTCTACATGAAATTATTAAACTTCACGCAAACTGGTAGAAGTTTTGAACAACTATGTATGGACGCTCGAGAAGTTGAAATAATGCTCCCGGCTGTTAGTGGAACTGCTCCACTCAATGCAACACAACACGAACACTCTCAATTGAACGCCGTACAACAAGAACAATCCAATTACATGATCAAGCCAGGTAGGTTTCAAACTTTGAATCAAACTAACCCAAACAGAGAACAACCTCGAAATGGCTGGAGATACAATCCAAACGGGTCTTATCCAAGAAACCAAAATAATTCTAGATATTTTCAGGGCAACAACCGAAGCCGACAACAAATAAGAGCACCTGACAATGAACGACGATGGAATAATCGACCTGTATGCAACTACTGTCAAAAAGTCGGACATTTTGCCGCCAATTGCCGTACCCGCTTGACTGACTACATGAATAGACAAAATGGAAATCCTCAAATGGTACAAGGTACATCTAATCAAAGTAAAGATGAGAGGTATAGTGATACTCTATTAAAAGAAATTTTAACGGGAATTCGTAATCTACAAACTGGGTCTCAAAATTCGGCAGGACCCTCCCAGCAAAATTTAAATTCTATTGAAGTTGGGAATAAAAAGCCATTACAAGTAAATGAGAATAAAAATAATTCTAAAAAGGAGTCTGAAATAAAAATTTCTTCTTGGGAATCAAAATCCATAGGACCAAAACTATTTCCTTTACTAATGCTAATTGCGATAATAACATCCTGCGGCGCAACATTTAGCGTCCCGACACCTCGAATGCCTATGATATGCCAAATGGAAAAACAATCAACGATTTGGGCATTACCACAACTCGCGCACTGCCCTTCCCTAGAAAATAACATGTCACACATACCAGTACCACAAACCAGGTCTCTTTATGTTCTGAATGATCTTGAATATACCACAGAAGGTTGGGCTTGTAGAAAAATAAAGAAGTCTATTAGAAAATTTACCACACTCTCCAATGTACCTGTTAATGAGGCAATAGGTTCAGAAATGCTAGAAGTAACAAATGAAGAATGCACGCGCATGATTAAAGAAAAGCAATGTAGTTTAGGCGCAATGACTAAAGAAAATGATATCTGGAGTACACAAAATAAATTGGATGTTAGTCCAAAAATGTGGCTACTAGGTTCCTTTTGGTGGACCACAGTATCAGTCGAAAATTGTTTATTGTTTAATTTACAAATTAACTCACACTGGGGCGAACCTGTTATTAGAACTCCACTAGGAAGCACGAATAACTGCTCATATGCTATAGGTAACTGCACATTGGAAGACAAAACGGTCCTTGAATGGGTCCCAAATAAAAATCAATTATGTAGATATTTAAAGTTTGGGGAGTATAATGGGAAAATTTTGGACAACACTTGGCTCTCGGACGATGCACAGTTAGCATTACACTTTAACAAACCCCCTCATAAATTAACTGACTGTGGAATAGAACTAGAAGTTTCTGAACAAGGATTTGCCACAACCATAAAATCGACAAGACCTAAAAGAAGCTTAAACACTGAAAAATTGCGTATAGTAACTTCGCCTGAAATGGCTGCTGAACTAACCTATCTTGACACACAACTTGCCGAAACACTAACATTTGCCTTTACTCACTCACTTAAAGCACTCTGCGACCATTTAGAAGAAGTAAAAAGATGGGCTCTAGCCTCGCTTATTTCTAATCCCACTGAACTTGCAAGAATAATATTTGCAAATAATTATTTAATTGCAAAACGTGAAGGCTCCTCTTTATTAAGAATTTGGCCATGTATTGCACTAAAAGAAGAAGAATTCAATTTTATTCCAACTAATTTAGAAGAATGTTTTGAACTCATTCCCATTCAACTAACTACTGAAAATCAAACACATTTGGCGTTTTTAGACCCAACGACAATGATAGTTCAACCAATCTCAAGGAAGGCACCATGTGCACAATTTAAAAATATAATTTTAGAACTAAATCATGAAACTTTAGAAATTAATCAACTAACTGGGGAAGTAAAAACGGTCCATCCAAGATTAATTAAAAAGAATGAATTAAGGGCATTTGACATACCAGAAATTAAGGCCCACTCATTTCATCAACTAGTCTTAGTAAACCTAACAGACATTAACACGCACACTTACATGACTAATTTTGCCAAACTTAGTGAACTCTCATACAGAATTGAAAATAAAGACATGATTATAACTAAAACACTGTCAGAACAGTGGAAAGAAGCAAGCATGAATTTAACAAAAGAAGTATTAGGTGATTATACTTGGGCTTGGAAAGTAATAGCAACAATTTTAATCTCAATCTTAACCTTAGACTTAATTATTCGTTGGGGTTTGAAAATTTTAGAAGTATATTTAGGAAATGGGCGTTTAGGCCGACTACTAATTGGGAAGAATGTACTTAATAGTACACAAAAAGCTTTGGATGCTACGGCATCTACTAATCACTCTCATGACATAAAAGAAAATGGCTTGAGACAAGAAAACAAACAAGAGGTTAAATCATGGATCCCCAAGGTATCTAAGTATCCTAGTCCAGACATAACACCGGATCCAGTAGTCAACACACTTACAATAGAACATCAAATAAATTCAGTCTATCCGAGTACCGCAGTCACACGAATTTTAATTAATAATAAACCGCTTAACTGCTTAATTGATACTGGTGCAAGCATTTCAATTGCTCCTCTATCCTTAGCTAAATTTTTGGACGCAAATATAGAACCCACAAAAATAGGTATAACCTCCGCCTCAGGGCATGAAATCTCAGCTAATGCATCAATGCACGTTCTTATGGATATAAGTGGTCATAAACAAATTGCTAAAATTAATCTCGTAGAGGACAATCAATTAATTGAGAGGCGAAATTACCAATTAATAATAGGATGCGATGTACTAAAAACATTACCGACGGTAACCTTTGACTTTCCAAAAGGGAAAATTTGGATTGGAAATAAATCACTAAACTTGGGCACAGGTAACCTACCTTTATTAACAAATGTTAGGATTGCAACTCTTGAATCTATAACAATTCCCCCAGGGACAAATAAAATAGTTAATGCGAAACTCGAAACAACTTGCGACTTTGAATATGCAGTTTCACATTCTCTAGATGAACGCTTAAGTTCTGAAAATCTCGGTCTAATCAGTACTGTATTTAAAGCTTCCGACAAAATTGCTAGTTTATTAATAACAAATCCAACTAACGCCCCTAAACATATTTGTAAGGGCATGCACATAGCCTATGCTAATGAACTAAAAGAAAGTAATGAAGGGCCGTGGCTAACAGAAAATACAAAAAATAATTTTAGTGAATTAAATAAATTTCGTGTACTTGAAAATATGGTTAATGCTTTAGACGAAGACCCTGCTTTTAAAATAGATTTTTCAAAAAGTTCTGTTACGGGAAATGACTTACAAAAATTAAAGGACCTATGCGAAGAATTCTCTGACATATTTAGTAAAAGTCAATATGATCTTGGGTCATGCTTAGTAGGGGAGCATGACATAATTACGACTACCGATGAACCAATTTCTACTAGACCTCACAGAGTTCCATTCAAGTACCAAGAAGAATTCCACGAACATATTGACAAATTACTTAAATCAGGTGTTATGATTAAGTCTGATACACCATGGGTTTCGAACATTGTTCTTGTCCAGAAAAAGGACGGAGGACTCAGACCATGCATAGACTTTAGAAAACTCAATGAAATAACTGTTCCGGACCATTTTCCACTGCCTAGATTTGAAACAATTATGGAAAAAGTAGGAAGTTGTAGCTTTTATTCACTGCTAGATTTGTCCAGTGGCTATTTACAAATTAGGCTCACTGAGCGAGCGTCACGCAAATGTGGACTCATAACTGAAAATGAAATTTATCAAATGACTCACATGCCTTTCGGACTTAAAAATGCGACAAGCGCGTTTGCACGTGTAATGGCACATGTAATTAGTGGACTTGAAGATAGTGTCATAGCTTATGTAGACGACTTTTTAATTTTTACCAAAGCTCCTGAATTTGAAAAACATCTCGATGCCCTTAGGCAAGTATTTGACAGATTAAGGAAATATTATCTGAAAGTAAGCCCGAAAAAATGTATACTAGCCTCTACCCAAATGAACTTTCTAGGACACACAATTAATTCCTCAGGCTATTCCCCAAGTCTAAGCAAAGTAGAAACAATAACAAACCTTCCAGTACCTAAAACCCTCAAGGAAGTAAGACATTGTGTTGGGATGGCTTCCTTTTTCAGAAAACACATACCAAACTTTTCAATGATTGTTGAGCCTCTCACTAGACTCACTCGTAAGGAAATTACTTTCAAATGGGAAGAAGAACAGCAAAAAGCTTTTGAAGAAATTAAAAAGATTTTAAGCAGCGAACCAGTTCTTGTATTTCCAAATTACAATGAACCATTTCATGTTTTCACGGATGCATCGCAAACTGGACAAGGTGGAGCACTCATGCAAAAAGATAAAGAGAAAAATACTTACAAAGCAATCGCATACTGCAGCAGATCCTTATCAAACTCAGAGCGCAAATGGCCCCCAGTACAAATTGAGCTAGGCGCAATTATTTATGCACTGCGTCAATTTCGTCCGTTTATATACATGGCAGAAGTAGAACTACACACTGACCATAAACCGCTGGCATATCTCATGGAAAAGGCACAAGCACACCCGAATCTAGCGCGCTGGCTAATAGAGTTACAGAATTACATTATAAAAATTGTTCATGTATCAGGTAAAGAAAATTTATTAGCTGACGCACTCTCAAGAGCCATCACAAAAGAAGACACAAAAAGTGAAGAGTTAGAAGATATAGCAGAATTCCCAGTATGCCTCAACCTACAACAAAACGAAGTTTTAAATATAGAAGATTATATTCCGAGAATAACGCTAAAAAGACAGGACGGGCAAAGATATTCAATCAATATTTTAAAAGAACAAGAAGATGATTTTGAAGCTTCAGCCTTCACTAAGTTTATAGTTTCAGGAGAAATTCCAAAAGAAATTCCCGCAGAGGATGAAGAAAATTTTACACTAGCAGCTGCGAACCTTGAATTATCAAATGGGGTACTTTATCAGAAAATAGGTGATTTGAAACCACGGCTTTTCATACCAGCCTCACTTAGGGCACTAATTTTTGACTCATTCCACTCATCACAATTAGGCGGGGGACACATGGACTTAAAGAAAACTCTCAAAAAATGTAGAAAATATTACTGGCCTAGAATGCACTCCGACATTTTAAGATGGACGCGCAACTGCATAACTTGCCAATTAAGACATTCACCCAATCCTCCATACAGAGCTGAAATGTATATGGTCCCATCCAACACACTTTTCGCAAAAGTAGGGCTTGATTTAGCAGGGCCATTCCCAGTAACCCAAAAAGGAAACAAACATTTAATGAATATAATCTGCTGGTTCACGAAATATGTAATTGCGGTACCAGTCCCAGACACAAAAGCAATAACACTAGCACGCGCATTTTTAACTAACTGCTACCTCAAATTTGGAGGCTGCACTGAACTAATCACAGACAATGCTACTGCATTTACCAGCGAATTTTTCCGAGATTTTTGCTCCATGCTCTATATAAACAAAAGTTATGCCACCCCTCACTGGTCGCAAGGCAACGCTGTTACGGAAAGATCCTTCAGAACTTTCCACAATATAATTTCGAAATATATTAGTAAAGACCAGCCAGACTTTGACGAACTCATAGACGCCGCGAGCTTTTGCTATAACACATCAATTCACACTTCTACAGGGGAAACACCCTTTTTCCTGATGTTTGGAAGGGATCCCATATTTTGTATAGATCAAATAATAGACCCTTCGATAAGCAACTCTATGATTAGCAATGACATTTCCGAATTTAAACAAAAATTAGTCACATCAATAAGGACTGCATGGGAAGCTGCCGCGGAAGCGAACAAGCACGCGCAACTAAAAGCTAAAGAACAATATGATAAATTATTAAGAAACCCCACAATAACGGTAGGAGACAGAGTTCTCTTGAGAAATTATGCAGGCAAAGTAGGAACTTCGAAAAAATTTCATATGCCTTGGAAAGGTATATTCAGGGCTGTAAAAATAGAAGGACCACACGTAACAATTACTAGTTGCAACTCACCTAGCGCAGCTCCAAGGGTAGTACACATAAACCAATTAAAGAAATGTTTTGAAGAATTACCCCCTGCTTGTACAAGTCCCAAATTATCACCTGAAGAAGAGAAATGCCTAGATGAGGCAGGTTTAGGAGGAAACGAGACACAAGATTTTACAAATAATAACGAAATTGAACAGGATAGAAATACAGTTGAGAGAGAAAAGAGTCCAGAGTTAGAAGAAATCCCACCTCAAAAACAAAAGAGATATAACTTAAGAGTAAATCCAAAACCCCGTAGGCTGTCCATTGAATAAAACTAGACTTTTCCAAAAATACACACACAAAACTTCTGGTAAATAAATACACACACAAAATAAATCTCATTCCATAACCGTTTAAAATTTATTTCACATTCCAAAGCCATAATTTTCCAAAATTATTTTTCTCCCCTTTCACATTAATCCTCCATTTTAATCGCGTAAATATTATTTCAATTTTTTTTTCTATTTCAATAATAATTTAAAATTTTTTTTTATTATTTCAGTTAATTATGGAAAAATTTAAAGAAAAACCTGAAATACGTCGAAAAGGCCGTGGAGTTTTTACAACAATTCCTGGCATCACTCATTCAAAATTGGATACTTCGGTATCTACTAATGTCTCAGCGGGTGCTAGTGCATCTTCTGATTTTAACTTGGATACTTCGGTATCTACTGCTATATTAATACCTGCTGGAGCAGTTATTAATCCAAATCTTGATACTACGGTATCGAATAAAGAAGTTGAAATTGATAAAATTTTGGAAAAAACTGAAGAAGAGAAAGGATTAGACCCGAAAGAAGTGACGGAGAGCATGGAAAAGCTCTTACTCGAAGAAGATATGGAGACTGACGAGTGGGAAAAATCGCAAACTTGGGGTGAGGAAGAAAAGAAGACAACTAAAAATGCTAAAATTCCGAAATTTGCTAATGAAGGATTTGCGGCATTGTCGCACCCAGAAGAAGAAGAATTTAAAGAAGTTAAAAGAAAGGAAAAGAAGAAAGAAAAATCATTGGATACTTCGGTATCTACTAATTATTCTTCACTCGATCAAACATCGGGGAAGGATTTGAAAGTCAAACGGTATGTCATAGCGCAAATGCTTGACAAAAAATTAATAGCAGTGTACCCTAATCCAACTAATCTGAAACAATGGCCCTTATTTATGGAAATACCCGATGAATTAAAATTGGATTCGGAAAGGCCTCTCTGCTTAGGAGACAGCGTAATTATTTCGAAATATAATTGGATTGAGGGGAGAAGAGAAATTGACACAGCTAACTGGATGTTTCAGAGCCGAATTAATGCCCAGGCCATAGCTTTAGAAATTCTGGATGTTTCGCTAGCCCCGTGGGTATTTAACACTGGTTTTGTTGTGGATATTAAAAAGCGAAAAGGAAAAGAAGTTAAAAATACTATGGGCTCAGCGCTTGTAGTTGCTTTCGGAATGGAGCGAACTGCGAAACTTTTTAACCGACAATGCGCAGAAGATCTCGACTTTGAGAATCTTCAAAGGGGAAGCCTGCTTGATATGCAACTAGCGAAAATTCCAGAAGGGTGGCTAATCGGAGGAGCCTATATACTACCACCTGGATCACGAATAAGACACGGAACTGAAATTCTAGCCAAAGAAAATTCTCATGTTCTAGCTATAGCCATGCCACATCGAGAAAAATGGCGTTGGTTAGCACGAAATAAAACTCCAATTTTCTTTCCAATCACTCCAGACCACACGATTAAGGAAATAAAATTCGCAGAAAACATAATGGCAGGCGCACTTATAGCTGCTAGCGAAATTGAGGAGATTGCAAGATATGAAACAATGTTCCAAGGAAGTGTAGGTTTAAGAGTTAAAGGAGAAAGAAGAAACTTCTTTATAGCGTTTGAGTCCACAGACAGAAGTTACACAAAGAAAATTTGTGAAGTGTGGTCAAAAGACACGTCCATTGCCGCTTACACAAACCTGTATTCAAAAGCATTTGGTCATGGTTTTATAAAAGAAATAGAAAAGAAAATAAATGAAGATTTGATAACCATTGAAATTGATATATTTTTAATGCCAAACCCAGAAACCATAGAGCAAGAAGAAGATTTTGAATTTATGGTAGAAGGAGGAGATGTATTCATTCGGACCACAGAAGAAGGTGGCGGAATGAGAGCGCAGGCAAATACTCTAGGCTTTAATTTACCATCCTCAATTATTGAAAAAGAAAAATCGAAAAGGGCAGAAATTTTGAAAGCAATTCTTGGTCGTCGAGGGCCCGACGAATTGAAGGGGGGAGCCGCTTTAGGGAATCTCGACCTTGAATGCACGCGCCAACTAAACACACAGCAGAAGGCCACGCTTGCAAACTGGCTTGATGAAGGGACCGGGCGGGTGCACTATCAGCAAGCCCCGCCCGGGACCGGAAAGACCAGGGTTGCAGCGGCCTGTGTGGCTGCAGCTGTATACCAAAAGCCCGGTTGCGCTGTTCTTGGCACCGCCGCAGCTAATTTACCCATTTCCCGGTTAGTTGAGGAAGTTGAAAGGACTATGCCAGACAAAGACATGGTCGCCTTCTTCAGCGGTATGGCTAAAGTCAGATATAATGATCACATAGCTGTTTTGGAAGAACAACTCCTTGCTGCAAAAGTAAAGCGAAACGAATACAAAAGCAAACTTGAAAATCCCGAAATAAGGGATGTTGATAAATATTTGGAAATGATTGATACCCGCCCTCGACATGCTGCTGAACGAAAAGTAGGGAAGGTATTACAGGAAAAAGATTTTAGAAATGTGGCGTTCGCAACGATACAAATGGCATTGGCTATCCCGGGGGCACACAATTCCACGTCTCACTTAGTTGTTGACGAGGCCACTCAGGTTTCGTACACCGCTTTAGTACATCTAGTGTGTCAAATGCCAAGTCTGGTCTCCCTTCTCTTGACGGGAGATCTCAGACAAATTGGGGTTCATTTAAAGGACCTCCCGGATTTATTACACACAGGCTTTGGACTTGAATCGATTACGTGCCAAGTTGAACACTGTCCGCGTATTTCCATGACTGCTCTAGAAATGTGTTATAGAGCTCATCCCACGTTAGTGACCTGTTTCGACTACTCTTCGTATCGCCAGCATAACGAGAGAGTTTTACCCGCAATAAAGGCAGAGGATAGAAAGGGACTTACGCACTTGGGTGTAAATCTTCCTATCGCGAACATTCCTCTAGTGCTGTTGAATATTTGTGGGACTACCCAAGTGGACCCGGCGTCTTATAGTGTCATGAACCCCGAACAACATAGCGCAGCGCTAAGAATTGTAGAAGCGCTGGAGAAAAGAGACCCGGGTGGAGTATTGGTGATATGTCTTTACTCTTATGAAGCGGAATGCCTCCGAAAGAGATTGAGAGAAATGGGTTTAGAAGTGGGCGTACATACTACGGATGCCTTTCAGGCGCAGGAAAAAAGGCTAGTTGTATTAGTAACTACGCGCACACAGAACACAGCGGCAAAATCGAAGCCCGCTGCATCGGAATTTCTGAAGGACTCAAGGCGCGCGACGGTAGCGCTGACGCGCGCTCAGCATGGAATGGTCATCATAGCCGATTTCCAATCTCTGAGCGAAGGGGAAGTCTGGGCCCGGTTCGTAGAAGAAGCGCAGAAACATACCCCAATTGTAAATGAAGGATATTTAGAGGTGATGGAAATGGAGGATCCTTCAAGAGGGGCTGGCGGAATTCTACAGGACCGAAAAGGATGGTCGCTACAAGCAGTGCGGAAAGAAATTCAAATGGTTGAAGAAAGTCGTCGCAAGGGCGACAGAATGTGCAACCGTTGTGGAGGCCGTGGACACATGGCGAGAGACTGCCGACGAAATTAATTGGTGAGAAAGAGGCAGAGAAAAGGTAGGCCAAATTTAATTCAAAAATATAATTTAAAATTAAAAATAAGACCAGGGACGGTCTTCCGTGGGGTGGAAGGTGTTAGACTCTAAAGTTAAATCCGAGAGCTAGGTGGACTTTGATTAAAAGGCTAAAAAGGAAATTCACGTGAATAGGGAGAATTCATACGCTAGGCAATAGGAAGTTGCAAAGTGTAACCAGTGAGAAACAAGCGATAAGCCCGCCTATAGAGAAGAAGCTTATAATCAAAAGGAAAATAGGGAAAAGCGCTTCAGTCGGCCTGGACTGTGAGTCACTCTTTTATCCAGTTGAAGAACATTCCAACTGAGCTTATATTATTGATTACGGTCAGCTATATGCTAGATCAAGCGGTATACCGAAACCATTAACCCTACTCAGCTCTTAACACCTCTGGGATTCTAATATCTTCCACCTTCAATTCCTCATTCTTAAATAGGCGGGCCCCTATTTAACTATATTTTTGCATGCTTTAATAAGGTTTCCTTCTATTTTAATAATTCTATATTTATTGAAATTAAGGAAATTTTTTTTTGATATTTTGGTTAAGTGGTAATGTTTTTGGTTTGGTTATTTTTAGGGTATATGAGTTCGAATCCGCTTACGGCTTAGGGGTTTTGTTTTTTATTTAGATAACAAAAAACTCCAAAAACGTCATTATTATATCTAAAAAAATTTTTTTCTACGCTCTATCCATACATATAAGCAAACCTTAATAAAAGCCATGTTCGCAAATATTTGTCCGCAAATTTTAAATATTTCTTAAAAATTTTTTAATAATTTTTTTCTATTTAATTTTTCTTCCTCAAATAAATATATCCATTTATTCATTTTTCATTTCCTGCTTTTTTTACAACAAAATAAATATAAATCCTCGCTAATTACATTTATTTGATGTCATTTTCTATTTAATTTTTTTTCTATTTACTTGCACACATTTTTTTCATTCGTCCAGTTTTTTTCTGAAAATTGTTTTAGAAAAATTATGCGCATTATTAATTGTATTTATTCGTTTTTTTCTTTTTTAATTATTTTACCTCTAAAAAATTCTCATTTCTTGAATATTTTATTTTTTTTAATTGAGTTTGAGTTTTATGTTAGTCCGCAAATTTTTGTCCGCAAATTTTTGTCCGCAAAAAATTTTTTTTTAATTTTTAAAATTTCTTAATTTTTTTTAGTTTTTAAAAACACTAAAAATTTTTTTTTCATATCTATTCTTTCCCTGGAGTTTTTTTTTAATTTTTCTCCTTGAAAAAATATTCTTTTATCAGGTGTGTTTATGATTGCCCGCAAAAAATTTTTTTGTTTTTCTTATTTTTTAATTTTTAAAAACTTCCAAAAAAATTTTTTTAAGTCTCTCCTTTCCTCGTTTTGTTTTTCTTTTATTTTTCTGTTGGAAAAAAATTCATTTTCTATTAGGTGGAATCGAACCTTGCTTCTTCTTCTCAAGTAAACTAAGCATTTTCCCACTACACCAAAAACATTCTTTTTAGGGAAACTTGCTGGGGTGGTCAGTTTTTGTGTTTCTTTAAGCCAGAAAAATTAAATTAAGATTTTTTGGGCCCATTTCCTTTATTTTTAATTTTCCTTTACTCTCTTAAAAGTCCGCAAGTTTTATCCGCAAAAAATAATTCTTGTGATTATTATAAAAAAGAATTTTAGATTTAACACAAATTTAAAACAAAAAAAAAATTTTCCGAAAACTAAACTCTATCTATTTTATTACTTTTAATTTTTTGTATAGTTTAATGAGAGAAAAAAAATTTTCGGTTTCCATAGTAAATTTTTAATTAAAAAAAAATTTTTTATAAATTTAATTTTTTCAGTATTCTAGTATTAATTTATTTTTTAAACTTACAATATTTACAAGGACTGGACATATCCGAGCTATTAACCGGTACCCTGGGTCCGGTATTTTTTTTTAAATTTTTTTCCGGAATTTTTTAGAAAATCACTCGTTTTCTAAAGAATTTTTGGCGTTTTTAAATTTTATAAAAAATTGGTTAATTTTTTGGCAAAAAACTCCCGCTTTTTTAGAACCGATCTTGTCCACCCCTATCATTTTCCTTTGAAGAAAAAAAATTTTTTGGAGGGAAAATATGATGTCATTTATTTTTTAAAATCATTTTTTCTCCAGAAAATTTGTGCTTTGGCTTAAATTATTTTTAAAATCTTTGTTTTTCTGTAATTAATCTCTTCTTTTTTTTTATTAAAAATTAAAAATCTTTTAAAAAATATTAAATATTTTTCTAAAAATGACAAAAAATTAAAAATAGAAAATTAAAAAAAAATTTTGTTTCGAACAATGGGTTTCCTTCCCTATTTTAAAAATAGAAATGGAGCAAAAAAAATTTTTTTAATATTTATTTTTGTAAAATTTTTTATTTTTTTTTGGTCTTCTAAATTTTCTAATTTAAAATTTTAATTTTTCATTATTTTTCTTAAAATTATTTTCAACATTTTTTTGTCTTACCCTCTCTTTCTATGAGTACACCCCAAGGTACTAGTGATGCTCGGGAGAAGAAAAAAACCCGGGAAACGGGAGTCAGGTTGGAAATGACCTCGGGAGTCGGGATACCCGAGCATCTCTTCCCAAGGTACTGCCTAACAATTATTTCTATGCCTAATGTTATACCGACAACGGGAATATGTTATTCCGAGAACGGCGAGAAGGGGGTGGGGTTTGGTGAAGTTGTTCCGACAACAATAAAAAAATGTTCCGAGAAACAAGAACCTCCTTTTTACTACCTTAAATTGTGGCAAAATTAATAAAATGACTTATTTTTTATTCTGACCATTTTTTATTTGACCATTTTTTATTTTTTTTTATTTTTTGTTTTTATTTTAAATTGTTGCAAACTACATATTTTTTAAATTAAATAATCTCATGTTTTTACCTAAAAAGGGCAAAATATGTAGTAAATTAAAAATCAAGACCTCCCCTATTTTTAAATAAAAATAGAGAAGAAAGGGAGAGAATATTTTTACAATATTTTTATTAATTTGTTTACGCACAAAAATTCTTACTTTTTTCCAAAAATAGAGAAAAAAAAATTATTTTTAACTGTTAAAAATATTTATATTGATAATGTCTATTTTTGGGCTTGTATATTTTAAAAAATAAAGAATTTTTTTGTTTTGTTGCTTTTCCCTCATTTTTGTTTTGTTTGTTGTTTATTGCTCACTCATCTACACACACCTTTATTTTACTGATTTTTAACTAGTTTTCTTCATCTTTTATTTTTAAATGAGTATATTTACCTCTATTATTTAATACAAAATCTATACATATTTATTTTTTTTAATGGTCACAAGCATAATTTTTCAAAAAAACTCTTCAAAATTTTTTCAAAAAAAAATTTTTTTTTTTGAATTTTCAAAAATTTCTTCAAAATTTTTCCAAGAATCGGTTTTTAAAGAAATTTTTCGAAAAAAAATTTTTTTCTAAAAAATTTTTTTTCTAAATTTAAGGGAAAATTCTTTTTAAAAAAATGCCAAATTGCCGTTTTTGCACTTTTCTGCTTTGTAGCTGTCGTTATTATTTTAATCTTCAACCTCATTTTCTATTAATTCTGTTGTTGTTGTTATCAATTCCTCAAAGCCTTCAGGTTGATTTTTTAAATTAGTTTTTTTAAATTAGTTTTGTTAAGGTTGGGTTTGGTGTAGTTGGTTATTGTGTTTGAGAAGGGGTTGTGGGTTCGAACCCGTTTGGTGTGCGAACTTTTTTAAATAAAACTAAAATATTTTTTGGTAACCGAAAATGTCTGATGCCTTGGAAAAAATTTAGATTTTTAAGGTTTACTTAATTTTTTGTTGTTTCGGTGTAGTGGGTTGATGGTTTGTTTTGTTCAACAAGGGGTCGTGGGTTCGAATCCGTTCGGAGGACAATCTTTTTTAAATAATAGTAAAATGTTTTTTGATGACTTTTTGAGGCCTAGAAAAAATTTTTACCTAAGAAAAATTTTTTAAAATCATTTCTATTTTAAAAGGACTCACAAGCTGGCAGTAATGGTGGTATTTCTTTAGCCTGTGGAAATGCTCTTTCCTCTTCCTCTTCAAGTAACATTCCAAATAGCAACAGCAACAATCCAGCAGTCCAAACACTGTCACAGTATCAACTTGTTGGAATGGACGTTTTAACCAAAAATGTTTGCTCCCCTTTGTCTGTTGAACCAACTACAGCTTATTTGCCTGGAAGTGGTTATTTGGTGGCTAAATGTGAAGAATGTTCCAAATGTCCGCAAGAATTGTTACATTTGCATAGAGCGCTTACACAGTTGGCGGTTAATGCAAAACTTCAGTCTTTGATCAGTTAGTGATTTTTATTTTTTTTTAAATTTTCGGGAATGAGGGATTTTCTGACAAGGAAAATTATTTTTTCGCGCTTTGGCATTTTAGGGAAGCGATGGGGTATAGAATGATTAGCCTGATCGGACTAGCGATAAATGAAATTCTTCTCTTTTTTATATCCCATTCCACTCACACAAGTCAGCGTTTCAGAAAAAAATTTTTGAAAAGTGAAAAAATTCAAAGTACACGAGGGATTGGAAATGGATTTTTAAGATTTTTTAAAAAAATTTTAAGATCCGATTTTTTGAGGATGGAGTACACAACCTTTCTTCGAAAAAAAAATTTTCAATTTTATTTTTTTTCCAGTTGTTGTTGATAAAGAATTGGAACGTTTACGACCTTCCTCAAGTCGAACAACACCCGGAAATTCACCTTTAGTTAAATTTGTATTTTCAACATCCTCTTCAGATGATGATGGAGGTCTACTTTCTTTATGTGATCCTAATGGTGATGCGAGTAATGAATCTCTCAAAAGTTTTTCAAAAACATCAGTATGTTTTTCTGTGATTTTTCGGTATCTGTGTAGTTTCCGTCCCATAAGCCCCGCCCCTTTTTCTTCTATTTATCCGCTGAAAGGTAATCAATTCTCATAAAGAACTTGAACTAGAGAATGAAAATATTGACCCAAATGTACTTTATAAAATAAAGGAGAATAAAAAGAAGGCGGGGCCTAAGGGAGGGAAACTGCACAAGAACCTATTTTTCTCAGTAATTTATTTTAAATTTTAAGGTTCTATTTGTTTCAATTTCTTTTATTATTTTAATTGTAATTTCTTTGGCCTGGTTAGTATTTTATTATGTTCAACGTTTTCGTTATGCTCATGCAAAGGATAGATTGCAGAGAAGGTTTTATTAAATTTTTATTGTTTTTAAAATGTAAGGGGAAGAGTTCTCGAATATTTTCAAATTCTCCCACTAAAAACTGAATCGAGAATTTCAACAAGTACTTGACTTTTCCATCAAAGAGTTATTCTGTCTTCGCCCTCATGTCAGTAAGGAGTGTGCAATTTCGACTTCGCGAGACGGTTTTTAGATTAACATTCGAAGTTTCGCCTTTCGATTTTTTCAATCAGTTTCAGCACGCTCATTGTGTCCAGACTAACCTAATATTTGATATGAGCAATTTTAATCGTGTTAATATTTTTATAATTTTTAAAGGCTATTTAATGCTGCAAAAAAAGCTTTGGCTAGAATTCCAACACGTCCAGTAAAATCTGGGGATCGAGAATTAAATTCAGACTGTCCAGTTTGTATTGATCCTTATAAACCTGGAGATATATTGAGGCAACTTCCATGCAGGTTTGTTTACCTTTTTTTTAACTTTTAAGTCGTTTTATCTCCCCCATTTTTATTTAAAAAGGTTCCACCCCAAAATGTCAGGTGACCCTAGAGGTCAACTCCAAATATTTGGGCGGATAAAGGGGAGTAAAGATCATTGGCCTATCTGACAGTTATATGACAGTTCCACAAGATAATTTCCGTCTTATTTCAGTGAATCCCCTTTAATGCCTACAAATCCGTCTTAATCTGCGCAAATCTTATTTATTTTTGGATTTGACCTTCCGGGTAACTGGACTTTTTGGGAGTTGACCTTTAGGATCGCTTGAGGTTGATCCTTTTAAACTTCTGGGGTTGATCCTTTTAGACTTCATAAAAAAATTTTCAGGCACATTTTTCACAAAAGTTGTGTTGATCCGTGGCTATTAGAACACCGAACGTGTCCAATGTGTAAATCTGATATTTTAAAAGCTTTTGGTTATCATGTTAGTAGCCGTAGTCGACCAGCACAATTTTCAGCAAGTGTGGATGATGATGCTCCAAGTGGTGGAAGAGGAGGCGGAGGGAGAACAGGAGGAAATGTCAACAATAATAATCATCGAGAAGGAGACAGATTAAGTATAGAATCAACATGTAGCGATTCTGCTAATCCTTTCCCTGTTGTTACTGAAGTACACGATCCTTTTGGTTTTTCTCCTTCAACATCGCCACAATTTGTTCAGGTTTATTTTAAATTTATTTTTGAATTTTATTAATTTTTAAAATAATGAGGCCCAAAAGAGGGTTAAAAGTTAGGAAGGAATTGGGGAGATTTTTTGGTAATTTGTTGACCAGGGTTTTTTCTCATGCTTTTTTTTGATTTAATTCTCTGTTAAAATTTAATTTTTAAATTTCAAACGGGAACTTGTTCCTTCATTAAACTCCTGCCCATCGTCATTAGGCCTCATAAAACTTGTCAAAAAAATTTTTTCTGAAACTTAAGATATTCATCTTTTCTTCAGTGATTAAGTTTTTAGTTCCCCCACTCATTTCTTTCTATGTATATTTTTACCAGGTCAAAGGGGTAAAAGCCAGGTAAAAAGACAGAATTCGGAAAAGACCCTGGTCCTTACTTATTCTCTTGTTTAGTGTCCCTCCCATCATTTTTCTGCCAGAATTTTTTTAATTTAAATTTTTTTAAAGATTGGCAGCGACAATTTTCAAGTTGCTAATAATTCAACAATTTTGCCATCTTCATCTTCTGTTCATTGTGAAATTGTACAGGCACAAATTGAAAGACATTCACAAAATGTTGGGGATGATTTGTCACCTGGTTCTTTGGAAGAAGAAGGAGAGGGGAGGGAAAATCAAGGAAAAATTGTTGAGGGAAATGTTGGTGGAAAAATACAGGAAGAAACCGACGATAAACATCAAAAACGGGAAACTAAAAGTAGTGGTCCTTTACGTCTTTTTCGAGCAGTAACAGGACGTCGACATGTTAATACAGCACTTGTTAGGGTTTGGAATTTTTTTATTTTTGAAATTATTGAAAAATTTTTAGAAAAATTTCTAGAAAATTTTTCGGAGTATTTAAAAAAAATTTGAAAATTTTGTGGGAATTTTTAAATTTTTTTGGAAAATTTTGAATTTTGGGAAATTTTAGAAAAATTTTTGGGAAAATTTTTTGGAATTTTTTTCAAAAAAAAATTTTTTTTAAATTTAAAGCTTTCACGTTCTCGTTCGCTCAGTCATAATCCTTCTACTGATGTTGAATCTACCAGTAATCCTAATAATAATGAAAATGGAACTGGACAAGAAGCTATTATTTTCTACTCTTTAAAAGGTTTCTTTAAATAAATTTTTAATTTTTTGGGCTAAAAATAAAAATTTTTTTCGAATATTTTTAAAATTATTTTTTAAGGTCGTAACGCCAAAAATATGGAAACTACTCTCCCACAAACATTTACCAGTACAATACTTCCAAGAACAACAACAGCAACCATTTCTCCCTCAACTACACGTTCATCTTTAGCTCGTGTAGATGAAGCTGGTGGTATTCTTCCTTCAACAACAATGAATGAAAATTCTCGTGCATTAACTGCCCCTGGTGATTTTCGACGTAAAAAAGGTGGAGGAAGTAGTAGAAGTGGAGGGGGAAGTAGAGGAGGAATGGGGGCAATGGAAGTGGGAGGAAAACGCCAAAAAAGAAATTTTAAAAATCAGCACCAACATTCTTTAAGTGATGGGGATATTGTTGAACAACAAGAAGGAGGAAATGATGATTTTTTAAATAATGGAAAAATTCTGAGAAAGCAAACAGCGGGGGATGTACGGGTGGAAATGCCGTAACGGAGAGTTAAAAATAAATTTAAAAAAATAATTCCGAGGGTTGGAAATTTTGATAGAAAATTGAAAATTTGGAAGGAAAAAGCAATTTAATTTTAGTTTTGTCAACAGAAAAAAATAGTACAGTTTAGATTAGTCCTGGCTAGTGAATAATAAGGGGGTGAGGGTATTTTTAAAAATAAAAAAAATTTTTTATCATTTTCTTTATTAAAAATTGTTCAAATTATTTTTTAAAATCCTAAAAAATTAAATTTTACATTAAAACAAAGTTTTTATTGTAATAAAAATTGTTTTCCATCAGTGGGGTTCGAACCCTCAACCTATTAGCCGTTGTAACCTGAAATTATCCCACTACACCAAAGTTTTGGAAAGTGTTGGCAAGGCTTGTAAATTAAATTGTTTTGTTTAAAAATTATTTTTAAAATATTTATATTGAGGTTTAGAAGGATATTTTTTATTATTTTATATATTTTTTGTGAGATTGTATACAGAAAAAAAATCACGCATTATTCTGATCTTAAAATTTATTTTTTTTTGTTTTTCTCTTTTCAAATCTACACAACTTTCATTTTTTTTCTTTTTTTAAAAATTGTCTGATCTCAATATACATTCAAAAAAAAGATACTTTTTTCTAAAGAATATTCATAAAAAATTTTATTGTTTTTTATCTTCTAAAAAAATTATTTTCTTCCTTTACGATATATATTTTTCTTTTCCTTCTCAAAAAAATTTTTTTTCTTTCTTAAAGTTGTAAAAAATTATTTTTTTTGTGCAAGTAATTTGTACATACATTTATTTTTGAGAATAAAAATTTAGTTATTTTTTATTTTGTATGTAAAAGATTGGTAAAATTCTTTAAAATATTTAGATAGTATAATTTTTAAAAATGGTCTGACAAAGGAGAGTGCCTGAGGTATCCGTAGGACTTCGTGGGACTACCCTAACTAAAGTAGGGTATAATCTACCCGTCTACCAAATTTCATCCCGAAGTCCCACGGACACCTCAGGCACTCTCCTTTGTGAGATTAATCTTTATGGCATTTTAAGAGAATTAACAGGAGTGGACTTTTTATCAATTTACTCAATATATAATAATTTGTTCGGATGACACTTCATTTAATTTTTGGCAAAAAATTCGAAAAAAAATTTCTCTTCAAGAATTTCTTTTATTTTCAATTTTGCTAAACAATGTAAGTGATTTAACTTATTCTCCATGTTTTTAAAAATATTGCAAAACAAAGAAGCTAAACTAAAAAGCAAAAAGCTAGTAAAACGGGAATGTGTTGAAAAAAAAGAATGGAAGAAAGCAGCTGTCAAAAAGAGTATAATCTCGGTGAATTGATCTTTTCTTGAATTAAAAACGGCCAAATCCTTTCTATTTTCTCGATTCATCGATTAAAACTTTTAGAACTTGGGAAGTATCCATTAATTGCTCAACAAAAAATTTTTTCTTCCTTTCTATTCGAAAATTTTAAAACATTCTAATTAGCAATTGATTTTTTAAATAGTATAGCAACCCGACACCCCGCCGATTTTTTAGCGAAAACCTCGACCCGAACCCCGAAGGCTTACTTACCCCTGACAAACCCCGGTCCCTGACAATCCCGACCTACATAGAAAGGTCAGGTTGTTCCTACCCTATTTTAAATAATTGGTGGGACTGAAGTCCAGGGATTCTTCAAATTTTCTGTAATAAGAATGGTTGAAAGTATTTTTAAAAATCCTGAAAAATTTTAATTTTCACACTAAAACAAAGTTTATTAAAATAAAAATTGTTTTCCATCAGTGGGGTTCGCACCCTCAACCTATTAGCCGTTATAACCTGAAATTATCCCACTACACCAAAGTTTTTGGAACCTCACTGATTTTATTTTTTTTCAAGGAAATTTCAAATGTGAGACGATTCAATTATATTTCTTTAACAAAAAATGTCTTCTTATCCCCTCTCTACATCAACTTCCTCGTCAGCATGGGGTCCTGGATATATTCCTTCAAGTATTGGCTACACCGACCGAATACAAGAACAATGGTCTAGAGAATTTGATCCAACACGTCTTCACAAAAATGAAATTTCTGGAGGTCCAATGACCAAAAGCTACGAGAATTTAGGTTTTCTTTGTAATTTTTATATGCTGAAAGGAGTTGCTGAACCAATAAGACTAGGCTCGATCCCCGACCTCGATTCCTCGGCTCTCCTTTCCCGCCCGACGATCTATAGTTAAATTTTTTCCCGATCCTTAGAGTTTGAAGGACCCTCCGTCCCCCGAAAAAGTTCTCATCGGTTGGGGGATCAACCCGAAATAGGACTGCTGCTTTACGGCATTTTGGTACAATTGGCTAGAACGGGTGAGTTGGTCCATTTGTTAATTGATCGTTTATTTTCTTACGATCCAACAATTTTTTTATTTTTTTCAGTTCGCAACATTTTCCGTCCTGAGCAAGCTGAAGGTTATGGTGGTGGTGCCTTTCCTCTCCCTCCTTCTTTTGCTCCACCCAATGGACAACAAGGACTATTAAATGCTAGCCAAAGAATTCTTGGTGTTGATAATCGTCCAAAAATTAGTGCTGCTGCTATGAGACGAGTTGAATCACAATTAGGGAGAGATGCTTTGGATGATTCAAGTTTGTTTTTGTTTTGGGAATCTAGGTATTTGTGAACGGTATAACATCAAATCTAAATTTTCGAAGGGTATATTAACGCAGATTTTTGTATCCGATTATAACGGCGATTTGGTTAAGTTGGTAGTGGTCTAGGTTTGCGAATAAAGGGGTTGTGGGTTCGAGTCCGTTTGGCAGCCAAGAGTTTCTTTAGCTCCGTTAATGTGCTGTTTGAGTTGTTTTTTGACCTGAAACATTTTTTAATTTTTCTGTCTCGCTAAAATTTTAAATTTACCATATAGATGATGACCAACTATGGAAATCGCCTTTAGACGAAATTTATGCAGAATTAGGCATTAGCAGCAGTGGTTTATTAGATAGCCGCCCTTCATTGTTTCCAGTTTATACGCCAAAGTCGTCTACAGAATACTTCTCTACAGTGACAGCTAATCCAAGTTCAATCCCTTCTCATCGAAGTTCAGCGCTGGGAACTTACAGGGTTTATTTTATTTTTTAAATTTTAATGAGGGTTGGGTTCCCGACCCGTCGGGGAGAAGTGTTTTTTCGGGGAATAGGAATGTCGGGGAATGGATTTTCGGAGGGCTGGGGCAAAAATTTTAACTCTAATTTTAGGTTCAAAATCTTTTTTTAATAGCTGGGCGCTCCCTCCGTCCAGTTTCTTTTTAATAATTTGAGTTAGTTCCCGATCCGTGGGAGGGAATTTTTTCGGGGAGAGGGGATGTCGATGATTGGATTGTCAGGGATAGGGTTGGGGAACAAAATTTTGTCGGAATCAGCGTCTGACCAATTTTAATTTTAAAAATTTTTTCTTTAGTTGGGTGCCCCCTCCTCTCTTCGCCCAATTTCTACATGTTCGTCTTCGTCCACAACTGGCTGGGATTCTTTGGAAGGCGAAAAAAGAGGTTTTGGAAATTGGCGAAATACTGATAAACAAATGCTTTTTGATTGTTCTTCAACAAATTCCCAATCGCCATTTGCTTCACATTTATATGGTGGGGGTTCTGTTAGACGTCAAGACTCGAGAATTGTTGGCTCCAATTTTGTACAATTAACGCAGAGGCCAAAAGACCGATTTTTGGAAAAGGTTTTTATTTTTATAATTTTCTTGGGGGGTTTATTGAAGATTGGTGTTGATCGAGACACCTTGATTTTCTTGGAGCCCCAAAGTAGGGGTTAATTCAGTTTTAGGCTTCTTTGACTTTGTCCACAATTGTGGTTCCAGTTTAGGCTTTTTGATTCTTGACTAGGAGCCGTGGAAGTAGAATTTATATTTTACTTTTTTATTCTTTTTGTCTGGCAATTTTTGGGTCAGTATCTGGGCCACGCAAAAATTTTTTTGTAAAAGGCAGGACATCAATCATTTAGAAAAAAATTTTTTCCTTTTTCATTTATTTATTTTTAATTTTTCTTTACAGATTGACAAAACATTGGCCGATGTTCGTTCTGAGCCGCGGTACTATCGTTCATGAGAAAGAAGGAATATGTGAAGAAATGTAATGTGGACAACAATAAACGCAACAACGGTAATTTTTAAAAATATTTTAAAAAAAGGAAAGGATGATGTGTGAGAGAGATTATCTTGACAAAAAAGATAAAAATTTCAAAATTTTTAAAAATCATTTTAAGAAAATTAAAAAAAATTTTCAGCATAAAAATGCAAATAAAAAAAATTTATTCTTTAAACTGGGGATATTCTGTTAATTGTAAGCAAGAGTTTTTTTACTTAAAATCATGTTAGAAATACTGTGTCGATTTTTTTTCTCTTAGGCTAAAGAATTTAAGAGCTTTTTGGAATTAGATTTTTAAGGAGTTTAATATAAGAAATTGATTTTTAAAATACAAATAAATTTATTTATTTATTAGGAAATTTTTATACAATTTTAAAATATTCTTTTGAATCTAACCCTTAAAAATTTTTTTTTCTTTCTCTCCTTTTTCCCATCAAAATTATTGTTGTAGTGTTTTTTAGTTAAATATAGTTAAAGCAAGATATGATTCGTTAATTTTTGTCTTCAAGTTCTGTAAGGATGACAGCGCAAAAATAAAAGATTTTCAACTGTTGGACGACATAAAAATAGGGGGCCTGCTATAAAATAAGGATTTTTTTTAATTTTAGAGTTTTTGTGGAGGTTTGAGGGATTAAAAGGTTTAGGCGAAGTTGTCAGTGATTTTTTGTTTGTTTGTGTATGTGTTTGTAAGTGTTCAGGTCTGGATCCTTGGCTAATCCTTACATTAGTCTTTTTCCTAGGACAGGGAATTTTGAGTGCTTTTTGGCATTTACTTCTACGACTACAAGATGGATGGATATCTAGTCTCTTAACAGATTTGTTTTCTTGTAGTGTCGTTCTTAATGTTCTGATTATCCCTTCTTAATTTGTTTGATTTTGGATTCCTAATGGATCCCGGTGTCTTTTGGAGTCGCTGTCTTTTGTCAACCTTGCAGGGAGTAGGGGGAAGGACCAGGGCTGTCCGCAAGTGAAAAAAATTTCCGCAGCCGCAGTCCGCAATCGTGGATAGCCCTGGGAGGGACGCTACCAAAAAATTCTTTTTATTCTTCTTCCTTACTCTGTTGTGTATCATAACTCGAAGGAGCAGCAATTGCACGTCCACCACCACTTCTTTTTCCATAACGAGATAACACAGCAGCACGTCCATACCGACTTAAAAGCGCAGGTTGTTTTTGTTGTTGAGAATCATCCCCATCACTTCTTACTAACCGAAAAAATGTGTTTGAGGAGGGAATGTTATTATTGGAGGAGGAAATGAATGCATTAACTTGATTATTGTTGATATTAAATGATTGAATTAATAAAATTAGGGAGAGAATAAAAAATAAATTTAGGGGAGAATATTTAAAGGAGGATGTTTTTCTAAAGGATGTTGTTGATGTTGAAGAAGATGGGGTCTTTTTGAACTGCTCCATTTTGTAGTGGGAGAGAATATTTTTTGTGTGATTTTTTTTTGAAAAAACTGAAAAATATGAGAAGAGGGGAATTTAGTATAATTGGATTTTTGTGAACTATGTTGAGCTTTCACCTAGAAGGTCTGCGCATTTCTATAGGTTCGTAAAAATTTTTTTTGGATTTTTCGCGTCTTTTATTTTTAAATTTTTCGAGAAAAAATGTTTATCTTTCGATCCAGCTTTGGTTATAACGTGGATAAATGTCATAAAATTTATTATTATGATTGGTAAGGAGACATATCGGGCTTGTGGTGATTAACTCCTTTTCATATTTATGTCGGTCTTAAAACATGAAAACTTTTTTCTAATAGGACAGTGTCTTTAGACTTTTGGACAACCCAATGACCGAAGGTCCAAAATCTATAGGTTAACTGTTCCGTCTCGAAATGTTTGGCTTCAGTTATGATCTACTAGGAAGATTAAAAAAATTCTTGAAATTATTTGAGAAGTCTAAAGTTTAAAAATTATTTAAAATGTGTACAATTTAGTTTTGTGAAATTTGTGTTTATATAGAATTTGAATGAGGGGAGGGGAGGGACTAATCTCTAAAAATGATTAAAGAATGAACTCTTCCCTTATTTTTTTTAATTTTATAAATTGTTTAAAACCCCAAGTACATTATTTTAAAATACCAAAAGATTATTAGCAACACATTTTTTCTCAAAAAAATATTTTTAACGACTCTTAAGAGGGGAAGAAGTCGTTTAAAAATTTTTTTATTTTTTGTCAAAGGGCAGTCAGTACGAAGGGATAAAGGGATTAGAAATGAGTGAAAGGAGAGTCAGCTAATTTAAAAGTGTTTTTTATGGAGATGAGTAAAAATGAATGAAGGAAGGAGAGAGGAATATTTAAATGAATTAACTTTTCTGTTGTGTTCGTGCCAGCCGTCACCTTTTTATATTAAGAGACCTTTTAAATTAAAAAAATGTTTATAGCAAAAGTGACAAAATAAAATTCCACAAGTTTTTTGGGAAATGAACAAATTAATTTTTAGAATGGGCTATTCAACCAACCCTTTTTTAGAATAGATAACTCGGAACTTTGGGTAATTGGAATTAATAAAAAAATTTGAAAAAAAATTGTTCGACAGTTTATCTCAAAAAAAATTTTTTTTAGTTTAATTAAGTAGTGTTGCACTCCGACCCCGACAAAATGTTGCTCCCCGACCTTGCCACGAAACAATTCGAAAACCCCGTACCCCGACACACCCGCCCCCGAGCGTTCGAAGTGCAATCCTAATTTTAAGTCAGATGTTAGCCCCTTCTTGTCAGCCCCTTCTTGATTTTAAGTCAGCCCCTTCTTGTCAGCCCCTTCTTGATTTTAAGTCAGCCCCTTCTTGTATGATATCACATTCAGTTGTGCTTCGGTTGCGGCTCATTCCATGATGGTTCTATTCCATCTTCTATGCAAAAAAATTTTTTTCCAGAGCATGAACTTAATATTATTAAATAGTCCCATAAAAGTCTCGTGAAAGTCGTCCCATAAAATATTCTGAGGCAAGATTGATTAAAGCAAAGTGACGATTGACACGAACATACAAAGTCCAATTTTTAAATTTTTTGTGTTATCAACTAGAGCTGAAGTGGAAACTTTTGTCTGCCTTTAAAAACACGCAGTTTCAGCTAAATAAATTGCTAAATAAATCAGACCTGGAGGGATAGGATAAATATTTATATTCTAGTTTAGCATATAAAATTAAGGAGGAAATGAATATGTATATTAAGGGGGAAAAGGTATTAGTTTCGTTTGGCACATTTATGTAAAGTAGAAGAAAGAGGGGGAGGGAGGAAGGGGGAGGGGAGAGATAAGCAAAAATTAAACACATTTCCTTATAAGCAAGAAGATCCATCAAACAAACACAAAAAATATAACCAGCTGTCAGCAGTCAAAAAAAAAAACATTTTTTCCTGTCCGTGTTAATAAGTATAAATATAAACTAAATTTGAGGGGGAGGCCAAAATTGAGAGGAAAGGAAGGGAAAGTGAGGAGGAGAAGGAAAACATTAATTTGGCAAGATTAAGGAGAAAAAAGTGATGATGGCATAACCTTAAAAAATATTTTTTTGTTTTTTATTTAAATATCTAAATAAGGAGATTTTTTGGGAGATGAGTAGCGCCTTAAGGCATTTTTTGTGCGTGCTTGATTTAATTTAATAAATAATGAGAGGGGAGGGAGATATTTGTGGGGTGTTTTATTTGGGTATTTTGCTTAGTATTAATTAATATGTGTGTAGTTTTTTGGTTCAAAAAATATTTAAATGTAAATGGCAATTTTTCCGAAAAAAATTTTCAGAAAAAATAAATTTTGCAGAATATTGAAAAAATTAAAAATTAATTTTCTACAAAATTAAATGCAAAATTTCTGCAAAATTAACTTAAAAGGAGAGAAAATATAAGGGAAAAAAAGAATTTTTAAAAATACAGAATTTTTGTAAAAATAGCAATTAGTAGGTATTTAATTTAAAAAATGTAATAATTACGTGTGAGTATTGGTTAAGTATTAGAGAGTCTGTTTATTGAAGGAAATTATTATTTTTGGACAAAAAAATTTTTTGACGTGTTAGTTTGGAATTTTAATAGATACTTGGGAAGACGAAAAGAAAATTTTTTGTTTATTAGCGGGTTTAAAAAAGTTAAAAAAATATAAATTTAAGAGAAAGGGGGGGGGATTGTTTTTAGTATAGTTTTACGTAAATTTTAGTGTATAAATTAATTTTTTTTTGTTTTTAAAAATTAAGAATAACAATAATTAAATAATTAAGTGTTCCAAAAATAAATTGAATTTTTTTTTACTAAAAATAAATTTTAATATAATTTATTTTTTAATAAGTAAAAAAACAATAATAACAATTAAAACAATTAAAAATTAAATATAAATTTTTTATTTAATTTTAATTGTGTTAATATACCCAATTAATTCTTTAACATTTTTTAAAGCAATTTCACAACATTTTTCGATCTGAAAAAAAATTTTTTTTGAAAATTCTAAAATTCTGCTTACCGATTTTTGATTAACATTTAAATTTCCACTTTGACTAATTAAACAAATTTCGTCACGATGATTAGCCCCAATAATTAAAAATCCGTCTACTAAAAGAGATTCTTCCATTGTTGGGTCTATTATTGGGTCATCACTTAAAAAATTAAAAATTTTTTATTTTGAGACATTTTATCCCAAATTTCAAAACTTTCTTGAAAGAGGATAACTAAGAGCTGTGAGAACATATCTGGGATAAATGGATATGAAGGGGAAGTATAAAAATGGATAAGAAGGGGAAGTATATAGACATTTTGGCTATTTGGTATATGTGAGAATGGTTGGGATAAGTTGGAGATGTTAAATTTTTGACTCGAGTTTGTATAGTATAAACGGAAGGGGTATAAGACAGATTTTTAGCATTTTGGCGGTTGATATTTCGATTTTTTGAAATTCTTTATTTTTTGGGAATTTTTGAATTTTTAAAAAATAAAATTGATTTTTAAAAATTTAAAAGAAAAACTTACATTCCATTAATAAAACCAAATGTAGTAGTTACCGGCTTGTAATAAACAGTCAAAGGAATTGGGGGTTTATCATTTGAATGCTTTTTAAATTAAAATTAATTTAGAATTTTTTATTAAAAAAATTTACCACAATAAGCTTTTTAGTTATTGAATTATAGCTAACATCACTTCTTTTGAAATGTGTTATAGCACAAGAAACAGCCAAAACAGATGCATCCCATAAACCTCCATCATAATCAAGAATTTTTATTTCACATTTTATGTCAAATACATATCTAGGTAATTTATAGGTAAGAAATGGTAGAAAATGAGGGGTTTGCGGACAAAAATTTTTTTTGCGGACAGAAAAATTTTTTTGCGGATAAAAAATTTTTTTGCGGACAGAAAAATTTTTGCGGACAGAAATTTACGGATAACACTCACCAGAAAGTTTTGTATATTTTAACAGTTTGATAAAAAATGCCCCCAAAAAAGAGCTAAAATGCTCCCAGGAAATGATATTAAGACTTCACATTTGTCCGCAAATGACAGTCCGCAAATGTCTGTTTACTGGTTTCTTGTAGAAAAAATATACGTGTCTGGAAAATTTGAACTTTCCAGACAAATAGGAAGTAACGTCATCATATTAAAAATTTAATTCCTCAAAAAATAAATTGACCAGGAAGTAATGAGAAAAACTTTTTGGAATAACGTACTTTATCAAAATGTCAAATTTAATTAATAAACAAAAAAATCCATCAAATTTTGTATGACATTTTTTGTTTTATTTTTAATAGAAACTTTTCTGAAAAAAAATTTTTTTTTAATTCCCGTCTTCCTAGAAGATATAAAATGTTCCTTTTTTGGAGGGGATCTGTTAATTTAATTTAAATTTGACAGGTTTCTTTTTTTAGAAATTTTTTTGAAAATTAATTTTTAAAAATTAATGTCAGTCCGCAAAAAAATTTTTCTGTCTGCAAATTCTGTCCGCAAAAGAAAAAAAAATTTTCAATCCGAAAATTAAATTTTTTATGTCCGCAAATTTTGTCCGCAAAAAAATTAAAAAAAATTTTAGTCTGCAAATTCTATCCGCAAATTAAATTTTTCTGTCCGCAAACTTTGTCCGCAAAATTTTTATTTGTCCGCAAAAAAATAAAATTTTAAAATTAAATGAAACCTTACTTATTCGACTCAATACACAAAGTATCAAAATCTAAACAATAAGTATCTCTAAATAAAGATTCCAAAATAACCAAACATTGCTCTATTTCGTTATCAAAAGAATTTGTTTCAACAGCAGAGGGATGCGCCATTGGAAGAAAATCAACAGAAAAAGCAATAGAGCCAGCACCTGGTTTTGTACTTTTTCTGGGTGCTGAAATTTCTGCGTCTAATGTACACATTAATCTTTGAAAAAAATTTTTTTAATTTAAATTTTTAATTGGGGAGGTATTGTAGGTAGGGTAATCATAGGGGGAGGTTAAGCTAAAATTTGTGGAAAGCATTAAACAACTTAAACTAAAATTTAGCTAAAGGTGCTTGGTAGTTTAGTCGGTAGGGCTCTTGTCTATCTAAACTTTTAGGGGTGGGTTCGACCCTTTGATGAAGTCTGATGATTTTTTGCCTTGATTCTGGTTATTAATTGGCAAAATATAAATTTCTTTCGATTCAAAAATTCCAAAAAAAATTTTTTGAATTTGAGAGAAAACCCATAAAACCCCTTTAAAAACCCTCTAAAAATTAAAAACCTCGTTTTCCCCAATCGGATGTGAGTTAATCTACAAGTTGGATCATAGCTAACATCAAAAGAACGAAAATCAGTCCATTCTCTGCCGTCAACACGCTTGAAAAATAAATTTAAAAATTCAAAAATAATTTAAAAAACCTTTTTAGATTGAAAAAGATCTAATAAAAATGCGAGATGTGTATTATTTTTGGGTAATCTTCCCCTCATTTTTTAAAAATATTTTTTAAAAAGTATATAATTCTAAAAACAAATAAATTTTAAAAATTAAAAATATTTAAATAAACAAAAAAATTTTTTATTTTAAAAACAAACAAATTTTAACATTTCTTTTTATTTTTAAGTAAAAACCAAAAATTTAAATGGAGGCGAATTTAATTTAAAAAAATATTTGGTTATATTATTTGGTCGACTTAAATTTTTTAAAAATAAGTTTAGGGTATTTTCAAAATTTGGGGATATTCCAATCCATGAGGGGTACCCCCAAATTCCAATTTGGAGGTATATTCCAAAAAATTTGGATATAATTGGGATCTAATCCAGGGGTAATTCCAAAAATTGGGACAAATAAATTCATTCAAGTTCCGATTTAAGGTGAGTGGGAAAAAGCCAAAAAAATTCATAATTAAAAAAATACTCAATTTACTAGAAAAAGAATAAACCCCCCAAAAAATATAACCAAACAAAAAAATTAAAAAAAAAACCAAGTCAAATCAAAAAACAACAAAAAATCCAAACAGAAAAATCATTTAGCAGAAGTGGTAGCTTGTATCTTCTTTTGTAACGCCATCAAAACCATTTGTCTAAGTTGTTGTTTTTCTGGAATAACACTCTTATTTATTGTGTTTATTTGGCCGTCCAAAAATGCATATTTTCTTGAAATTAAAAAAATTGAAAAAATTTTTTTAAAAGAAAAAAAAACCTTTTAAAATAATCCAAAGCCTGTTTTCGATTCATTCTAGCAAAGTAACCAGCACCAATTTCAACCAAATATTTGTCTGGATCGATAACTTTAGCTTCAATATAAACCTTTAAAAAATATTCTTTTTTATTTTTTAGAAAGTTCAAAAAAAGTCTGGGTGTGGACTAACGGTTTGTTGACCTGACCGAAGGTTAAGGTGCTTCGTGTCGAGGAAAAACTCAGACCCAGAAAAATCTCGTGAAGCTCAAAAAATATATGGGAAAAGGATTTTTAAAGATCGAGATGTAAAAGTTTGGTCTAGACTGTTTATTGAATTGAACCAGGTTTTGTGCTTGGAGTCCAGGAAGTAGTTTGACCAAAGAAATCTTTTGAAAGTCAGAAAATGTCTGAGTCAGGTCCGTCCAGGAAAAGCACAGACCCAAGAAGAATACAGGAAGCCCAAACAACGGGTTTTGGGGCTCTATGAGCAGGATTAATGCTTTGATCTAAACTCTCAATAAATTAAAAACACACAAACCCTGACCTAAAACAAGCTCGATCCTTTATAAACTAAATTAATTTAAAAAAGAACTAACCGATTCTGACAGCGGAATCAGCGCTTTTTTATTCTTTTCCTCAGGATTTATCGAATCCAAAGTCACTTGACATCTTCCAAAACGATTAGAAACACTTCTCAATTCATTCAAAGATTCATTAAAAAAAGATAATTCGGCACTAAGTTGTTGTTGTAAACCAGAAAGTTCTTCAATTGTTAAAGAATTTATGTCAACTACAGTTGGCTGTTGAGTTGAGGAAGAGGTTGTAGATTTTGAAGAACTCATTTTGTTTTTCTTAAAAAATAGCAAAAAAATAAAGGATTTAAGTCAACAAGGATTTGAGATTTCCAAAAAAAGATGAGAGGTTTTTAAAAAATAATGGGTGGGATAAACTGTCATTTAAATGGGACCAATTGTCATTTTTAAAAATGAGAGAGTAACGATAAAAAATGGGTTAGAGATAGAGAGAAAAATGGGCTCCCATACAAAATACCGAATTCTTAAAATATGGAATCTCAAAATCGCGAATCGGCTAAAAAAGCTCAAAATATGGAATCTCAAAATATCGAATCTCAAAATATGGAATAGGCAAAAAAAAGCTCAAAATATCGAAAAATATCGACAATGCGGCAAAGGCCAGTTGAGTCTGAACAAAGTTGTGACCAACTTCTTCGTAAAAAAATTTTAAAAATAAGAGAAAGTATTTTTCTAAGGTAAAAAAATGTGCTGATTACGAATCTCAGCTCGGATTTTGAAAAAGTCGAATCCCGGACCCGAACCGAATTTCGAATCCCGAACCGAATTTCGAGTTTCCGAATGATAGCTCATCTGAAAGAGCACGTCGAGCTGCATCAAATGACACCAAAATCAATGAAATCCGACCTGATTGGACTGAGTTACAGACCCCTGAATAATCAGAAAAAGACCTGCAGCGGCACTCAAACGGCCCTTTTCGTTTTTAAAAAATTCGACATTTTTAACTACTTTTTAGCCGATTCGGTATTTTGAGCTTTTTTGGCCGATTCGCGATTTTGAGATTCGATATTTTAAGATTCCATATTTTGAGCTTTTTTGGCCGATTCCATATTTTGAGATATTTTTACCGATTCGCGATTTTGAGCTTTTTTAGCCTATTCGCGATTTTGAGAATTCGGTATTTTGTGCGGGCACGGAAAAATGGCTACCCTACAACTCATCCAATCCTTAACTCATCTAACACTTAACTCATCCACACGCCCAAAAACGCTCAACTCATCCAATCCTCAACTCATCTAATGCTTAACTCATCCACACGCCCAAAAACGCTCAACTCATCCAATCCTCAACTCATCTAATGCTTAACTCATCCACACGCCCAAAAACGCTCAACTCATCCAATCCTTGAAATATCGGCCGGTTGAGTCCCTAGCCGGTTGAGTCCCTGGTCAGTTGAGTCTCAACCGGCCCAAGACTCAACCGGCGGTAATCAACCACTCAAACGGCCGGGACTCAACTGACCAGGGACTTAACCGGCTAGAGACTCAACTGGTCATGGACTCAACTGGTCATGAACTCAACTAGCCATGGACTCAACTAGCCATGGACTCAACTGGTCATGGACTCAACTGGTCATGGACTCAACTGGTCATGAACTCAACTAGCCATGGACTCAACTGGTCATGGACTCAACTAGCCATGGACTCAACTGGTCATGGACTCAACTGGTCATGAACCCTACTTACCAGAGACTCAAACGGCCGGAGACTCAAACGGCCAGGGACTCAGACGGCCAGAGACTCAAACGGCCAGGGACTCAAACGACTGGTACTCAATAGTCTCGTTCCAAAGGATTGGATGAGTTGAGCGTTTTCGGCCGTGTAGATGAGTTAAGCATTAGATGAGTTGAGGATTGGATGAGTTGAGCGTTTTTGGCCGTGTAGATGAGTTAAGCATTAGATGAGTTGAGGATTGGATGAGTTGAGCGTTTTTGGCCGTGTGGATGAGTTAAGGAATTTTAGCCGTTTAGATGAGTTGAGCATTTTTGGGCGTGTGGATGAGTTAAGGATTAGATGAGTTGAGCGGGCACGAGAAAAATTGGCTCCCCTACAAAGGATAGATGAATTAAAGGATAGATGCGCTAAAGGATGATACGGCCAAAAACTATCAAAGGATAGATGCATCAAAGGATAGATGCACTAAAGGATAGATACGGCCAAAAGCGATCAAAGGATAGACAGCTGAATAGGTCGTTTGAGTCTGGACAAAAATGTTTAATAATCTGAATCTTCGCTGGAAAAACTGTTTTTGTGCTGCTACGGAGGGTAGGCCGGGCATGGTTTTCGCTTCACGATGGCCGTGCTTCGCTGCGGTCGTGCTCGCTTCGCTCGCGGCGACCGTAGCAAAGCGGCGGCCGTCGTTCCGCTCGACATGCCCGGCTTCATCCGCAGCGGCAAAAACTTTTTTCCGCAAATATACTAGAGTACAAATAAAATAAAAATCAGAACAGAAACATGAAATCAAAACAAAGATCTGAAAAAAACAAACAAAGATCAGGCACTCAACAGTTGGTACTCAACTGGACTCCAAACTTAATCTATGTTTTACCCAATTTTAGACGTGTCTATACTTTAATGGATTCTACCCCTATCTATCCTTTGGCGCATCTATCCTTTGATGCATCTATCCTTTAATCGTTTTTTGCCTTATCTATCCTTTAGCAGCTTTTGGCCGCGTCTATCCTTTGATCGATTTTAGCCGTATCCTTTGATTCATCTATTCTTTGAGCGGGCACGGAAAAATTAGAGACTTCATTATGTCCGCCTTGAAAGTTTCATTCCCACTTAACCAATACCATATTTTGCCAATAAGGCTAAAAACTCACGTTTTGTCAACAGGCCTTATTGGCAAAATGTAAGTTTTTACCCTTATTGGCAAAATGTGTTAATGGTCAAATATGTGGGAGCCTAAAGTTTTTTGTGTTTTTTTGTTCCAGAAAAGTTTGATTTCCGTTTAGTTTTTTTTCCTTTTTGCTTTAAATCCTCAAGCTAAGTCGTTTTTTTGCCCCCGATCTGTTTAAAAACTTCAATAATCCCTTAGCTTTTTTCAGATTTCAATTGTTAAACTTCCCCTATTTTATTGCGAGCTTTGTATAAACCTTTTTAAACCATTCAAATTATGCAAAATAAAACGCGTGTTAGACCAACAAATTCGGGTAAATTTTTGGTTTATTAAATAATTGAAACATTTTTTAGCTTCTTCATTAACTGCCGGTGCTGTGAGTGAAGAACAATTTCGTCAAGCGTTTGAGGCTGTTCTGGACTTAAGGGTAAGGATTTTTGGGGAACATTTACTTGATTCTATAGGCTTAAAAAAGGGAAAGTCGTTTTTGTCTTCCAGGGGTGTACTAGTGATCGGCATGGGAGGGATCCTGTATGAACTTTGCGGGATTCCGACCTGAATCCTGGGTTATAAGCGGAAAATTGGAAACCAAGATGAATCCGCTGAATTCCTCCCGTTCATTTTTTCGAAACTCATTCCCGTTACGGGATCCCGGGACTATGATTTTACCTATCTCTGGTTTGTACCCAGCTTATTCGAGTTTTCTTGGTTTTAAAAAAATTCTTGATTCTATATTTTTGCAATATCTTCTAATAACCCGCAATTTTAGGTTACTTCTCTCAAGGATTTGATTGCTGAATGTCAAAAACAAGCGGTAATTTTGGAAAATACAAACAATGATTGGACGAAACGAATTAAAGCGGTTATCTTTTTCT